CGCTTTTAGGTTTGTTTATTTTTATTTCATGTATATGGGTATCTGCGCGTGTGTGCGCACAGAGTGTATTTTGCAGTGCGTGTGTGCATAGTGTGTATTATATGCACAGTGTGTATTGTGTGTGAGCACGATGTGCATTATGTAATATGTGTGCGCACAGCGTGTATTATGCAATGTGCATGTGCACAGTCATGACTCAGTGCCTGCAAAGGTCAGAAGGGTGTCAGACACCCTAGAACTGGAGTTACAGACAGCTGAGAGATGCAGTATGGGTCTGAGGACTCAAGCCCAGGTCCCCTGCAAGGGCAGCCAGTGCGCTTAGCCCCTGAACCATCTCTTTAGCTCCTGATCTGAAGGTTTTTGATGTGCTGCTGTTAATTACTGTCTGCTACACAAGCCTGTTTCCTGGGAATCAGTCTTATGACTGTGTATCATAACAACACTGAAAATAGTTTTAATCAGTGATTTGATGGCCTTACTCTTTTTTACGAAGAGTAAAAATGACTATAGTTTTCAAAAATTAACAGAGCCTCTCTGGAAATAAACACTTAAGATCTTTGATTTTTTTTTCTTTAAAGCCATTTTTATTATCGTTATATGCTGTGTATGTTAGGTTTGCAGATGTCAGTGGATCCAATATCTTACGGGAGTTGTTTCTCTCCTTCCACCTTGACATGGGTTCCAGGACTAGAACTCAGGTTGCGACCTCCTGTAACCTCTAATGTGTCTCACCAGGCCTGTATTTCCTCAGGCACTAGCATTGCTAAAGCAAGCCAAAGGAGACTTACAGAATCTTCAGGATTGGGGCTTTAAAGACATCTCACAGCTGGTTGTAGTGGTGCACACCATTAGTCTCTGTGCATTCCAGACCACCATGGTCTACATGGTGGGTTTCAGAACACCCAGAGCTACATAGTGAAACACTGTCTCAAAAACAAAACAAAACAAAACCCGAAAGTAACAACAACCTCCCCAAATCAACAACACCCCCCTCCACACACAAAGACATCCCACTCAGGTAGCCCTCCCATTCCTCAGGTAAGCTCTCAGAGTACCAGTGACTGAACAGCACCAACTCTAGTCTTTCCAGCCTGCCAATGTCTTTCTGGTCAACACTCAGGAACCATCCACTGAGAAAACACATCCTCAAGCAGGTTTCTGCCAGCTGGTGGGGAAGTTGTGTTCTGTTGCTTTGTTGGTCTTTTTATATTATTATTACAGTTTATTCAGTTTGTATCCCAGCTGTAGCCCCCTCCCTCATTTCCACCCAATCCTACCCTCCCTCCTTCATCCCTTCCCAAGCCCCTCTCCAAGTCCACTGATAGTAGAGGTCCTCCTCCCCTTCCATCTGACTCAGTACTGGCTGCATTGTCCTCCTCTGTGGCCTGGTGAGGCTGCACCGCCCCCCTCAAGGAGAGGTGATCAAAGAGCCAGCCACTGAGTTCATGTCAGAGACAGTCCCAGTTCTCCTTACTAGGGAACCCATTTGGTGACTGAGCTGACATGGGCTACACTGAGCAGGGGTTCTAGGTTATCTCCATGAATGGTCCTTGGTTGGAGTATCAGTCTTAGAAAACACCCCTGTGTCCAGATTTTGAGGGCCTTAATAAAAGGTTATCACTTTACTGACCACATCTTGCTTTAGTTGTCAGTACTCACATAATACAATTTTTTCTACTTATAGCCGTCCTTAAAAAGTCCTTGGTTAGCTTTAGCTGAGCTTCTTGGGGACTTTTCTTTCACACTCTGTAATTTTGCTGAAATTTGTTGATGAACAGAAATAGCTACTCGGAGGCCAATACGGGTCCCACACCGACCTCACCAAGGTTGTCTTTTCCTTGCTATCTCCGGCTGTTAACTCCTTGGCCAAAGTTCTCAAGCAAAGTGTCTCTGCCCCAGAAGGAAGCGTGGTCCTGAGATTTCATATGAGCCTGACATTCCTTGTGTCATGTAGGAGGTCTGCCAAAACGAGGGGATTCTGCCCCCTTCAGGGACTATCTCAATATTGCTCCCCTAACTTGACTAGAGGGCTACATCCCGGCTGTAGGGGGAAGGCCCTGGTGTTCACTGTGAGTGCAGCTCCACCTCAGATCTGTTGTTCCATTGGAGCATAGAGCCTCCGTTCCATTCTGTGAGATGACTGGGTACCCTCCAGCTAGGAACCTTGGTCTAAGCCAGAGCAAGGCTAAGGTAGAGGCAGTGAGAGCGATGAGCACACATAGGAGGGTTTCGGGCTGAACAGCACTGAAACTCATGTACCTCCTACTGGACTCCTATGTGAGATTCAGATTAAAATGTACCTTTGTCTCTGAGATTGTGTAGTAGTTCTTTGCCCTACATGCTTTTGAAGATATCCTAGGAACTGGATACAAATGAGAACATAAAGATTGGAGAATGCACGTTATGTGTAGAGCACTTGCTTAGCACCTGTGAGTTCCTGGGCTCAGTTCCCAGACCACAAAACATGCCTTAGAAATACATGATAAGCCAGGTGGTCATGTGCATGCCTTTACTCCTAGTACTGGGGGGCAGGGGCAGGCAGATCTCTGTAGGTTCAGGGCCAGCCTGTTCTATATAGAGAGTTCCAGGAGAGCCAGGGCTACACAGAGAAACACTGTCTCAAACAAACAAACAAAAACAGACGAAAAAAAAAGAAATAGATGATAAGCAAGTGTGTGTGTCTCTGCAGGTGCTCCCAGAGACTACCATGAGCCAGTTGGTAAAAGGAACCCACACTGTGCGACTCCCATCTAGACAAGTACTGAGCTGTGAGAAACCAGAGTGTGAACCATGGGACTAAAGAGAAGCGACCAGCTCTTGTAAATAAGGGGATGTCTGGGAGCACAGGCAGGTAGACTGTGTTTGGAAAGATTAAGCATTATTCTTGGGATAGTTTTGTGAATAGCGTTCCTCATGCTCGGAGCCTTGAGCGCCGGTGAGCTTTTACGGCTTTTGTGTTCGTTAGGTAGTTTCCCATGGGGCTTCGGTGAGACACTGTAAACCTTAGCATTTCACTTTTTACTTTTAAGGGTTAAAGCTCAAGTATTTGAAGATAGCTGGGGCCCTGGAGTCACTTGTAGCTGACAGTAAAAATATCCTACCACAGTGAGGCAGAGGCCAGAAGGCCAGTGAGAGCCTGCCAGGAAGCCATCAGTGGCCAGTCTTAGAAATGCTACCATCCTTGTCCATCTGGGTTTTTGCTCCTGTTGATGTTTCAGTAAATGTGAAGAAAATAAAAGGGCCACCCAGGGACAGGGCACAGTATGTAGGGACACAGATGCAAGGCAGTGGTGGCCAGACAGTGTGTGGAGGAGAGGGGCTCCCAGAAATGTCACCCTCAGTATGCTGGCTCCCTGATGGCGCCTGCACATGACTCTGCAGGCTACTGCGGCACTTAGTGATAGGACAGACTGTCACCCTAGTCCTGCTTCTCCCTCACAGCCCATTGCCCTGAGGCCTGGCCCACCCTGTATGTGCTCCTGAATCTTGGCTGCAGTTGCTGCCTGAGCTAGGTTCTCCAGCTGAGCACTCAAAGCAAGGCCTCGGTAATTTGTTAGGAAGCAGCTCTCTGTGTCATCCCTTCAGGTATCAGTGGCTCTGCGTGCCCCCCTCGTTAACTGATGATGTGCCGAATCAGGTGTGAGGAGAGCCAGGGGAGTGTGAGACCTGGCACATTGAAGAGGAACAGCAACAGTTAGGAAAGGCAAAGTCCAGGCACTCTGCAGGCTGAATCGAAGCTTTGTCTACGATCAGATGAGTTGCCAAAGGCCATTGTTTGGCAGCCTTTTGTAACCGGCCGCACCTGCTTACATGGCTGGGATGCCTGTGGGGTTGCCCCGGCTGCACAAATAGTTGAAGATGCGCTGAGTGCCTGCTGATGTCGGTGTGTGTGGGTTGCCGGGGAGCCTGGATGGTGCACATTGTACTGCAGTTGCCTTTACTGAGTCTTCAGCAGTAGATAAAGACAAACGACCACACCCGGAGCGAAGAGCCCATGGTCCCGGAGTTTGTAGCTCTGCTCCCAAAACAGGCAGCACTTTTCACGTAGGTGTACACACACATCTCCATATATACTCTATATCTTTTCTTCTCGAAGACTTTATTTCTTGTGGGTAGGATGCATGTGCACACAGCTGGGCACGGTCCGTTTTCTCTTTCCACCTTCACGTGGGCCCCAGGGAATGAGCTCAGACCAAATCATCAGTCTTGTATGACAGCCCTTTCCCCACAGAGTGTTCTTATCATCACACACCATACGTTCTTCTCTAACCATTTTCCCCACCAGGTTCTTGATGTTCAGACAGGGACCCAGATGTCCACAGGTTATCACACTGTCGCTGTTGTGTATTTTTCCCCATCCCCCTGTTTGTGAATTTGCATTTTGTTTTAGAGCTGGAAACAACCAAGGCTTGTTTTCACTTTGATGGAGGAAGCCATTGGCACTTTCCCACAAGAATGCCTTTGCTTCTCTTCATAGGCTGTTAAGTGAGACCTAAACTTGAAGAGGCAAAGGCAGGAAGATTGCCTGACAGAAGTTTCAGGCTAGCTTGGGCTACATAGGCCCTCTCTTAAAAACCATCCACTCAAAAGGATCTAAAGTTGTCACGTCTTAAGACTAGGCAGTTCACCTCTCCCAGATGTGATTATGTAATGCGACTGCCTGGCCTCGAGGGGACCTGTGCCTCATCATGATGGGCTCCTAAGGACCCCACAAGTACAGCTTTGCTCTCGAGTCAGGGAACAGCTGACTCTATCTCTGAAGGGCCAAGTATGAAATGTCACTTCCTGAGGGCCATCTGGCTGCTGTCTTTATTACATAGCAGAGTCCCTGAGCAGCCAAGTCCAACCTGTCATCAGAGCATTCTGTGTGTTCCAAGAGAGGTTGCCATCAAAGACAAGCAGCAGCTGGAGCTGCCTGGGGCCACCACTCACCAGCCTTGACCCTGTTTGGTTAATGGAGCCCTGCCTGAATCTGCCTGCTCTGTTTTGTCTCCTATTAGGAAACAGTCCTAGTGAGGTGGGCTCTTCCTGGCCGCCCGCCGGCTGACAAGATGTACAATTTTGAAAGGTGAGAAGGTCTCAAAGGGAAGCATAGAGCTGGGTTCAGTGGCAGGGACACCAACTCAGTAGGGCTTAGGCAGATGTGGGGTTCATCTAGCAGTTCCCATGGCCGTGGTCACAGGTGAACTTCATGCCAATGCTCCAGGTACAAGTCTCACGCTTAGTCACGTAACTTTCATAGCAAGTATCTTGTCAGGACAACAGTAACTAACATCCCCAATGCCCGGCATGAGAGAGGGGACCGGAGTGCCTGCGCTCTGCTTACTGCCCCACTCAGGACTCTTCCTTCCCCATAGTTGAGGCTTTGTGGACCTTAGCTGGAGATGTGGAGGCTCTTCCAGCCTGCCACTCATGACCAGAGAACAGGACCAGAGAGCTGCCATGGACCTAGCAGCCCTTCTAGTTAGCAGGCAGGGGCGCGGTATAGAAGAGTCCCTCCCTCCCACACCCCTGTGCTCCTTAAATGTGAGAGCTTGTCTCTGCTCTCTGACACCCTCTTTCCAAGTGTCTGCCCTCCTCCCCACATTCGTGGTCTCCTTACATTCTCTAACGTGAACAGCTTGTCTCTGCTCTCCCATACCCTGCCAGCTTGGACAACAATAGGCAGTAAAGCTCTCGTATGACTCTTGTCTGTCAGGATTCTGTATGGGAAGCTGTAGGGTGTATTATCCCTAGTTTCTGTATTTATACAGCAGTAGCTCTTTTCCTCCTACACTAATGTGACCCCTCTCCTTGACTCCCAGAGTGTACGGCCCAGCAGAGTCTCAGGCAGTGGTATTTGAAGATGTGCGGCCCCTCCTCATATCTCTCTTGGATGGGTGAGTTCCATTTTTTTTCAAGGTCAGTGCCATCGTTACATTTATATATAAGGGCCCCTTATTCCAGCCATAGGATGGCTGGAACTTCAGGGGCTGTGAGTGACAGGAGAGCAGACGGTGGAAACTTTCCCCTGGAGCAGAGCGGAGTGTGTGAGAACTAGCATCAGATGAACTCCTGGGCTGCAAGCTGTGAGCATGCTACCATGTTCACTGTCAGCCTGTGGAGATGCTTTTTCTACCACAAGAGTCTCCTTAGAATTGTTCAGATTTTTCTTATCTTGTTTTTACTAATTAAAAGTGTTCTTTGACAGACAGACAGACACACACACACACACACACACACACACACACAGCATCCTGATTAATAGTGAACCCCAATGTCTCCTTCTTTCCTTCTACTTATGTCAGCTCCTCCTTCCATCCTCTCTCTCATGTTTATGTTCTTTTGTTTTGTTTGTGACCTACAATCTTGTGTAGGACCTCTGTAGGCAGCTGCAGCTTCTGTGAACTCATGATTGCAATGCCTGCATCATGCTCAGAAGATAGCTCCCAGCTCTCCCCATCCTCAACTCTTTTATTCTGTCTTCTCTCCCAGGTTGCTCCATGAGCCTTAGAGGGGGTAACAGTATAAATGTCCTGTTTAAGTCTGAGTGTTACAGCTGATTTCTCAATAGGAACTGTAAAAGCCCCAAGGCCTTGAAACAGTGAACTTCTAGTTCTGAGGGCCCATGGATGCCAACCCAGACTACTTACTATGCCCTGCAAAACTACCTGTCATAATTGAAGGAGAAAGAAAAACATTCCACAATAAAAAAGCAGGCTAAAGGAATTTATGGCCACCATGCCAATCCCACAGAGAATCCTGGAAGGACTACCTCATACCAAACAGAAGGACAGACACACCCATGCGAACAATAAACAGTGCTTGGATAGTTCTTTAGGCAAAGTAGGCCTAAAAAAACAAACACCACAAATCAATAAAAGGGCAGTAATTAACACACATCTTTTAATAATTACCTTGAATAGTAATGATCTCAATTCCTCATCCAAAAAAAAATTCAGACTAGCCTATTGTGTTAGAAAACAGGAGCCGGTTTTGTTTGTTTGTTTTTATTTTGATGTTGCTGCTTACAGGAAGCAAACCTTACCTTCAAGGATAGATAGTACTTTAGAGTAAAGGGGTGGAAAAAAGTGTTCTAAACACATGGACCCAGGAAATAAGTAAGTGCTGCTGTTCTGATACCTGACATATCAGAAGCAAAAACCTATCAGAAGAAATAAAGATTGCTACGTTCTGATCAAGAAAACAGCCCACCAAGAGGACATTACGATACAAAACATACCCAAACTTGGGTATACCCAGCTTCATACAAATACTTCAAACGCTGTTAATCATAGAGCTTCAGATTAAGCAGGACCAAAGAAAAATTACAATTAAATGACATCACAGATGAAACTGAGAGGCCCTGGCAGAATAGTCCACCCAGGTTCTTTTTAAATTCTTAACCACTTTAAAAACCATTGGGAACAACAGTGCCTGATAGGGAGTTGTCTTCTTTGAGAACCATACTTCTAATCTTGGAAAGTTACAGGCAAGGGCCAGTGCTGTAGGGCAGAGACTGAATTGCAGTACTCTAAGCCAAGACTTTGAACTTGAGGGCATTTTGAGAAGCTCAGTTTTAAAGAAAGTCTCCTAGAACTTTCTGAAGAAGGCTTTCCTAGCAAAGTTGAACCTTTGTCACCACACTGTTGTTTTTAGCCAGTATGCTGCATGGCCAGAGCCCTGCAATCTGCAGAGGAAGGTCCACTTTGGGACACCCACATCTTCCTCCCTGCCATTTGTCTATGGGCCAATCCTCCCTTCATCTGGGATGCATTTAGGGCTTCAGTTCTGTTTTTGCATGTGTCCGAAATAGAGCCTCCACCAGAAATGAGAAGGGAAGGTCTGTCTGGTCAGCATTCGTCCGTTAACCAAGCGAAGTGGGCATCGTGGCTAGACCACCTACCAGACTTGCTTTTCCGTCTGAAGCCCAGCCACGGCATCATCTCAAGTGCCGCGCCTCCTTCAGCTCCACATGTCTAGTGGCTTAGCCCTGAGAGTTGCCTGTCTGTTGGTCACGATCAAGGGCGCCACACTTGGGGCAGGTGCACACACGGGCATCAGGAAGGTGGCAGAGGTGTGGAGTGAGGTCCACACCGAGTCTTCGTAGCTCTCGAAGGGAAGCAGCTCGGGTGACAGCCCTGCTCCGTTCTCCTCAGGGTCTCAGCCCCAGCGGAACGGAACAATAAGCCTTGGACACAGGGCTTCTGCTTTCCCTCTTGTGGCTCCAGACGTGACACAGATGCCCACCCATAGGGACACTTTCACAGTAGCACTTATCGAAGAGGTGACACTTGCTTGCTTAACTTGCAAGGCTAAATGGATAAGTCTGGATTGAGGTAACTAAGTCAGAATTTCTCAGGCGAGGCGTACATGGGCTGCTGAACATCGCCAGGTGATTCCAAGAGGTCATGAGGAAGTCTTCAGTGTGCACTGGGTGGTAGGGCCGGGAGGCCTGCTTCCTTACAGCCAAGAAAATCTTAAAACTTAAATATAATTATGATTCATGAACAATTGTAGATACTCCTTTAGGTGTTTCCAGGCCTCTCACTGATGTTTTGGTTTAAAATAAAATGGCTAGAAAGAAAAAAAAAAGGAATTTACTGTTGTCATGAAACAGTAAATGGCAGGACTGTGAGGGAGCACACACTTGCCTATCAGAGTGGGCCTCAGTCCCCATGTGTCCACAGGGAATAAGAAACCACAGACATTTGGATAAAAAAATGTATTTAAAAAAATGACTGTTGGATTGGTGAGATGACCCAGTAGCTAAAGATGCTGGCTGATAATTCTGGGAACGTAAACTGTGATCCCTGGAACCTACACGGTGGAAGGAGAGAACCAACTTCTGTAAGGTGCCCTCTGACCTCCGCATGTATGCCGTGACACACAAGCCATGAAACAACCCCTCCCAGAACACAAAGTGAATGAATAAAATAAAGGTGAAGAAGGAAAATATTGAAAAAGTGGCTGTTCCGGGTATAACCACAGGCACCATGCCGGACCTGTTGTGCGTACTTCAAAGGAAACCGTGCAAGCTTTCCATCAGTCAGATCTTACAAGCGTTAGCTAGGAAAATGAATTCAGACAGGGGGACTCCACAACCACAGTGAGGGCCAACAAGGTGGGAGCTGACAGCGACCCACAGGCCAGCAGAGGGACCAAGTAGCAGCTCCTGGAGAAGGCTGGGGCCAAGATGGGAACCTGTCAAGCGGTGTGTTGGGTGAGCTTAGCTTAGTGAGAGGGTGCACAAGGCTGCTGTCCAGTGGATGGATGACAGGGTGGGTGAATGAAAGCCTGCTTTACAAGGAACAGAGATACAGGGGAACACTGACATTTTGTGTCCAGGTAAAACCCTCCAGAGCCAATTGCTCCAGACCCCACTTAGGTTTTGCTGTACTAAATAGGTTTTGAATTCCAGGTACAACGTATGCATTATGGCATATGGACAGACTGGAAGTGGGAAAAGCTACACCATGTTGGGTCCTCGCTCTGAAGAGAGGTCTGGGATGCCTTCAGGTGCTGATGAAGACTCGGGGATCATACCCAGAGCAGCCGAGGAACTCTTCAGGTATGCCCCTGAGGGTGAGGACTCAGGGCAGGGCAGCGTGAGCCCTGACAGAACAAGCCTGGGCTGGGAGATGGACAGAGCCAGTGCCCCCCCGTCAGGGGTCATTCAACCAATCCTAGCAGCAGCAGCCCCTTGTATCTGGGTATTCTTGACTGTAAACATGGGACGTCTATTCTTAGGATGCGCGTTCCCGAGAACTCCACAGAAGCCTATGCGAAGTAGAGGGTTTGGCTAGGGTTGTGTTTGGAAAGGAAGGGCAGAGCAGATACACCTCTGATCCTAATGCTCCTTGGGTGCCTGTGCTTCAGCTATCACAGAGGTCGCCGTGTATTTGGCCCATCAAGGGTCCCTGTTTTGTTAGCATGTCCCCAGAGGATGCCTGCTGCTACTGCTAATCACCTTACCAACAAAAGTCATCCTAGGAGGAAGACAGCAAAGGTGGTCTTGAGTAGACTGCCTCAGTGGCACAGCCTGGATACTGTGGTTCTTGTGACTCATTCCTGTGGCTGTCACTGGAGCCCCTTTGGGAGGTCACTTTCCTGGCTTCCCACCTCTCTGTCTACATATACCTGAAGCTGGACATTGCACATCTCTGGTGGAAGTGCTGGCTCCTGGGGGTCACACCCAGCAGGCAGCAGCTTCACAGAGCAGTGAGGTCAGTGCCCCTAGGCTGCCTCCCCTGAGAGCGGTTTTGTTTTTTTGAGATTCCTCCTGTTGTGTTGCCCTTTCCTATCCTAACCCCCAGAGCCAGACAGTGACGTAAGCACTCCCACCTCAACCTCTTCAAACCACTGTTCATTAAGTATTTGTGCAAATGAACAGATGTGTTTTTCTATCTGCATGTACTAACTGCTTCTGGAAAAATAAAATGTTGCAAAACCCTTGCTAATTTTCCACCGCCCGTGGCTGTTATTTCCAGAAGACTTGCCAGCTTGGGTCACTGTGCTGTAGGGACAGGCACAAGAAACAAGTAGCTTTGAGGGTGGCCCCTCGGGACATGTGCCCACAATCACAAGACTACAGGGAGCCATGTCTTTAACTAGAGTTTGAGGGCACCCTTTTCTAAGCATTGTGACAGCCAGATGCTTCCCTGCATGTGGAAACAGTACACATGGATTGCTTTGTGTGACCTCTTGCCTTGACCTTCCTCTTCCCAGCCCGGCAAGCTAGAGATGGCACAACAGCAGCTCGAGTGAGAAGGGCTCAAGCTGACTCAGAAGGCTGACCTTAGTGACTGAGGGTCAAGAGACCCTGGCTCTGCCGTTACTGACCCTGGGCCGATATATGCTCTTGGCTCCTAGAGGCTCCCCTGTCTACACAGCCAGCAGTGAGGCTCCCCGGTGGGTAGGCCCTGCCACTGCTGGCTTGCTTTTCTTCTGGCAATAGTGAAAATAAATCTTCGTAGATGGAGAAACCTGTCTTCATAACATCCTAAGTAGTTCTCTGTAATACTCCCATGAGCCATGAACGTGTTTAAAGAGTCAGTTACTCAGCCTTCACTTGCAAGTTAAGTCCATGCAAATTCATGGTCATGGTCCAGAGGGTTTAGTCCATCAGGGTGGGGAAAGCTTGGTGGCTGGGACAACAGGAAGATGGATGATGTGACTTTGTCATATGGTACCTGTCAGGAAGCAGGGACCTCAGGCCAGAGAGGGACTGGAGTACAATTCTCAAGGCGCACCCTGTTAGCCTACATCTGCCAACTAGGCCATCCCCTCATCTGCTGAGGAATAACTCTTCAAGCCCATGAGCCTGTGGGGGATGTTCTAGCTCAATGTGAACTCGCACCCGGTCCTGTCTGAAGTTTCCCGTGGGCCACAGTGACATGCTGGGTCAGGATGAACCGACAGAGTTGAAGTTTCCTCTTCCAGTTGGGAGATGGGCCAGACCCCAGCTTCCCCCATGCCCATTTCCTTCAAGAAGAATCACAGTCAAAATATGGAGGATGTTTTACTCTTTGTTTCCTACTCACTGTAGCTCAGACTTTGAGAGCAACAGGTTCAGGGCATGTGGGTGACTTCCAAAAGCGCAGTGTAGGAAGCTATCAGTTCTCAACATACGGAACTGTAGCATCAGGTCTGAATGTCAGGGAATGCCTTTCTGAACCATTTATCCTAAAAAGTGTCCCTGATGGTGTCACCAAAGGAAAGCACCCACCAATTTAAATGAAACAAGACAACCGTGGTGAGTGTGGGGGATGGGGTCATTCTATTCTATGTCTTCCTTTATCCCTTCTAACCCTGGATGTTGACATTGATACTTCAGGGTTAAATTTCCTTGTCATCTCTATTAACCAAAACATACTGTATTTTCCAGCGTGCTAGGCATTGATCAGAAACACAGAAATATATAGATGCTTATGGTAAAGCTTTGTACCATCAACCCCAAATCAGAATGGACAGACCAATGTGGCCTAGTAGGATCTGTGTGGGACTTCAGCCCCGTCCTCCAAAACAGCTTCCTGAGAAGATGCAGTTTTCAAGGCCAGCTGGCTTTACTGTTCAAGTGTAGTGGCAGCTAGGATTCCCCCCAAAGACCATCTCTGCGCCTGAGATTCCATCTCAGCCTGAAGTGGGAGCCAGGAGACATAGGGGAAGGAAGACAAAAGACAAATGTTGGTGGCCATTTTTGCCATGTGGGGTTTTGTTGTTTTCCCTCTAAGTAAGACACAAACTTTCTGTCTGTGAGCCTGAGGTGGTTCTTAGGTAGCCTCTGAAAGGGAATGGGTGAAGAGAAGGAGCTCTGGCCCCAGTATTCCCCTCACCAAACAGGCCTCTCAGTAAACTAACCTTGGGGTAAGAAAACTGATTAAGAAGCCCATTTTCCTACACCACTGGGGTATCTGTGAGGGACAAAGAATAGGTGTAGGCTTCTGGGTCTATGCTGTACTCTTCATAACTCTTCACACAGTAGGTGCCTAGTACCAAGGGCACCTGTTGTCATGGTAGCTGGTAACAGACAGCTCCTAGGAGGTAGCCTTGTTCTCAAGACAGCTTTCACCCACAGGGTTCCAGGTTTCTTCTCCCCAGCAACCATGCTGCTAGTAGAGCCACTCACTTCATAGATCAGGTGACTTGTGTTTCCTGCAACTGCAGCCATCTGCCCTCAAGAGGCATTCTTATGATGCTTTCTGTGGTGGGCCACTGAATTTCCTTGATGCCTGAATTTTTGTGTTTCTCCCAGGCTCATTTCAGAAAACCCTTCAAGAAGCCCAAAGGTTGATGTCTCCATAGTAGAAATTTACAACAACAACATCTTTGACCTTCTGGCCAAAGACAGTTCTGCAGTGATGTCTGGGGTTAAGTGCCAGGCGGTGACAACCCAGGAGGGACGTTCAGAGGCAGCCAAGCTGACCTGCAGGTGAGTTGCCATGGAGCCCAGTGCCCTGAAGACAGGTACTTACAGCAGCCCACTCCCAGCTGTGCCTGGAAGGGAACCAGTGCTGTCAACCGATGAAGCAGCTCATGGAGTGTGCTTAGTGTGTGCACAGGGATCCAGCATAACAAGGCTAACTGCAGAGACAACAGGGATCTTAGCCAGATGGGATACTGTGAGTATCTCACAGCACACATGCCAATCAGAACATCAAGGTCTCGCCTCCAAGATGTATAGGCTTTAAATGTCAAAGATATCCCACCTACCTACCTACCTACTTATCTGTCTATCTATCTATCTATCTATCTATCTATCTATCTATCTATCTATCTATCGCTTTCTGAGATGGGATTTCTCTGTGTCACCCTGGCTGTCCTGGAACTCACTCTGTAGACCAGGCTGGCCTCAAACTCACAAAAATCCTCCTGCTTCTGTCTCCCGAGTGCTGGGATTAAAGGCGTGCACACCATGCCCAGCCCCCAATGTCAAAAATAACTTAATAAAACTATTTTAAAAATAAAGATAAAAGAGGTAGGGGAGCTCAGTGGTGGCATGTACTGACCCTGAGTTCTACCTCTAGTCACACACACACACACACACACACACACACACACGACAGACATCCCTATATAAATAACTTCTAATTTAAAGAAAATCTTCATGAGAGTTGATGGACACCACCCAGCCTTGAAGAAGAGGCTTAGAGAATTGAAACACACTTCCCACCCCAATACACACACATAAACACACTCAGTGAAGGATAAGTGTAACTATTCACATGTGGAAATATCAGTATTTTATAGGATGCTATAATGAATCATTTTGGAAAGGTGAGAACCATCTTATTCATTAAATATCCTCATCATTAGGCATTCCTCAAGGTGCATGCCGCCATGCCAGGCTTGCTCAGCATGCAAGATGCTCCTGCCTCGCCAGCCTAGAGCTGACGAAGGGATTCTTGCTCCATTGTGAGGATGTGAGTCAGGCTGCCCACTCTAGGGTCCATAGCTAAGCACAATGCTGGAAAAGCCTACAGGAAGGCACACAGCTAGCTGTGATGTGCTTGCAGAAAGTACTAGAAGCCAGCTTTTCACTGGCGGGTCCTGGCTAACACATAGCTCTGATGAGGCAAGCGTTCATCAGCCGCCTGCCACACTGACAAAGATGAGAGTGGAGCTTAAGTTTTGTTTCATAGATTTGATTTGCTGCACAAAATATATTTAAAACTTGGAGCCTTAAGGATGTAGCAACTGAAAAGAGTAGTAGTCGCTAGGTCAGGGCCTTTTGACTTTGCTCTAACACCGTTGAGTATTTCAGAGTGAGCAAAGAGGTGTGAAAGGTTGGCAGGGCCTCAAAACTCATCAGTTTGATTCCTACACAAAACTTTACCATTGAACTGATATCCTCAGCCCTTCTCACTTTTTAGATAAAGGGTGTTACTCAGTTGTCTGAGCTGGCCTTGAACTCCGTAGACCAGGCCAGCCTTGAACTTGTGATTCCCCTCCTGTACTTCTTGAGTTTTGGGATTACAGGCCTCTCTCTCTAGGACTGGCCACTGTACTTTCTTGAACTGGGCACACTTAGCTCGCATGAGAGTTGTCTGTCAGTAGAGTGAGTTTAGGTTAACCTGAGCGTGGAGCAGCTGTCCCCTGCTGTATCAGCTTGGGGGTTTCCTCTGGCCTATCTCATCCTTTGCCAGGGCTGTCATGAGTGCCGTGGAGTTTGTGGGGCTCATCCACAGAGCTGTGCATCTCAGAGTGCAGCACCCCACCCTGGTGCACAAGAACTCTTCCAGATCTCACTTAGTTGTCACGGCAACTCTGACCACAGCTTCCTTGGGCAGCACTGGTAAGTGGACACTTGTGCTGGGTCAGTTCAAGGTAGAGGAGTCCATCCCCACAGAACCATCATGGCATCTCTCTTGGTAACTCTCAGGACTTAAGCGAGCTTGGCAGTGATCATGGGTGGTCTAGAGCCCACATCGAGAGGGCCCTTGGGACATAGCCTTCAGAGGTGGGGAGGAGAGGGAAGGACGCACCCAAGTTGGAAAGGAGGGTGCACTTATACCTTGGAAAGACACACATCCATCCTAAATGAAATGCAAGCTCTAAGGTATCAGTATATAACACAGCCCCAAGCACATAGGAGGACAAGGGCCATGTTGGCAAAAGCTGGCGACGCCGAGGGCAGCAGCTCAGAGGTCAGCCACTGAGTCATGCAGCGCTTGATCATATGAGACTCACCCCAGCAGTTAAATGCTGCAAGTTCACGGCCCGAATGCTGTGCTGGACAGCTGCTGCTCTGGGCCTTTACAGCGTACTGCACGAGTGCAGAGCCCTGGGCATGGCAGGTCGCACTCAAGGCTGGTTCTCAGTCACATGGATGGCCAGTGTAGATGGACATTCTTCATCTTGTCACAGTGACACTTGGCTTCTGGGAAGAGACTAGCTAGCCACAGCAAGCTCCATGTTGGTAGTGCCTGCATCTGGGTGCTTAGGGAGCCCACCTGCCTGCCAAGAGATTTCTGGACAGGAAGCATGAAAGGCTGACTTTGGTGTAGTGAAACTACCTGTGGGTTGTTTTCTTTTTCGACAGAAGAGTGTTTTCTGTTTTGCATAACAAGGATAGATTGATTAAGCTTTAAAAAGTATCTCTAAGAGGTTTACTTGGGAACACGACACAGCAAGATGGATACCCCAAGATGAAAAAGCCCTTTGCAGAGATTTCAAGAGTTCGTTGAGCAAGGACAGTGGATCTGCTTCCGGGAAGGCAGATAACTGTTCTGTGTGAGGTTTTAGTTCACACTATCCCTGGCAGTTTCTAGCAACATTGTTTACTTTGGGGAGAACAGATGAGGCATTGGCTCAACTGTCTTTAGCACAACATGCTTTGTTTTCCTCCAGAGGGGCAAAGACTGTTACTCTACTCCTTAAATACTCCTTCACTATCTGTATTTATGAGTGAAATGAGAAGCAGGGTCCTAAGGGTGGACTTTCAGCTCTCACGTTGATTGATGTGAGGCTGAGCAGTCCTTTCTGGCTTTTCCTTTCATCACTCTCCTTGCCCCAGCCCTACAGTCCAGCCAGTCCTCCGCTCCAGTGGATTCTGCAGACCGTGCTGGCCAGCTGCTGGCCAGGCTGCAGCTTGTGGACTTGGCCGGCAGTGAGTGTGCAGGTGAGCAGCGACTAGAAGATATGTCCCAAATGAATGTCATGTCAGCAAAGGGCAACCAAGTGAAGGTAGAGTGTGAGTTAGCCCAGAAGGCCATGTTAGATCCCTGTTACCTTCTGATGGCCAGAAGCTCAGTTCTTTCTGCTGGCGGTCTGTGCCTAGAGGAACTGTTATCAGCAGTTAAAGGGACCTTGGTAACCAACTGGAGGACTCATCTTAATGGTGGGGTGGGCCACATGGTAATTCCTAAGAGCCGCCCCTGTTTGCCTGGTTCCTGTCCCGCCAACATGCTCACGCTGGCTGCTCTCCAAACCCTCCAGCTGTGTCTGGGGTGACTGGCGTGGCACTGAAGGAGGCCTCCTTCATCAACCGGAGTCTGGCTGCCCTCGCAGATGTCCTCGGAGCTTTGTCAGAGCACTGTGACCACATCCCGTATCGGAACAGCAAACTCACTCACCTGCTTCAGGACTCAATTGGTTTGTCTTCCTAAGAGACCCCCAAAGCAGAAGGGATTAACCCAGCTTTGGGGACTAACCCAGCCATGCTTGTTTCTTTTCCTAAGCTGTACAGCCTTTGGCAAAGTCATGGCTCTGCCAGGCCCCTGCCATGTTCCGTCCTTGGTGTGTTCAGGACTTTCAGTCACTGAAGCTTACACTAAGTACTAACTGTGCTGCAGGTTGGTCTAGATAACAGGCTCTCCTCTTGCCTTTCCAGCAGGCTACAGAGCTCCTCAGGGTGGCAGGCAGAGTCCATGGATGCCTCTCTAAGCTCTGCAGATAGGACCACACTAAGGAATGAGTGGCCTTCAATGGCTTCCAGTATGGGCAGACTCTCTCCACGCATGCGATCCCTGCTTGGAGTGTAGGCAGAAGCTCTCCATGAAAATAGCGGTTTGGCACTTAGAAATGCCATTTTCATGCTTCACACCCGGCATCTTTAATTCTTTTTTTAAAGGTGGTGATGCAAAGTTACTGATGATTCTGTGTGTATCCCCTGGGCAGAAGCACATGGCAGAGACTCTACGAGGCCTAAAATTTGGGGCCCGAGCTCGGCAGGTTGAGCGAAGACCATCCAGAAGGAGACCACCCAGCTCCCAGATGCGGAAGCCAGGGATGGGCCTGGCATGGTAACTGGCTCTTCCCTGAGATTTGCTTCTTGTCATTGCTTTGGGGTGTGAGTGCTTCAGAAATAAACAGGTTTCTCTTGGTCCCAAAGAGGCTGTTTTCTCCCTAGGCCTGGTGGGAAGTGTGGATGGGGCCGCAGCACAACCTTGCCTCAGATCCTCTGAACCTAGAATGATAGAGGAGGAGCATGGCTGGGCCCACACTGGAAAAGGAGCTGGGCCATATGCCGCACAGCTAGAGAGGGATGCCTGTTACCTCAGGAGATGTAGTGAGGTCCAGAGACATACATGGGCTCTTTCTGCTCCCGGCTCTGTCCTAGACAGTTTAAAGCCCCATTCCCATCCTTCCAGCTGTGATGGAGGTGGAGACCAGAGAGGGCCAACACAGGCCATGTGAGGCTTGTAAGAGTCAGCATGGTTCCAGGGCCACAGGCACCAAAGACATGTTTGTTGATCGTCCTTGTCCTCCTCAGGGAAGTGAAGTCCCAGGCTGGGCATAAGTGACAAGGAGCCTCACATTTGAGGGAGAGGGCGGCAAACCCTCAGACTCTTCTCTGTAGAGCAGTGAGTAGCTGTTACATCTCTGGGAACTTAGACAAAAAAAGAATACAGTCTGCACTCCAGCTGCCTCAGGTGCAGTCCATTTCCAACACAGATGCCAGGGACAGCACAGGCTGGCCTCATAGTGATGTGCCTGACAGTATATTTACCTGCTGTTGGCATTATGGTAGCTGAAGAGGCCACAGTTTTAGCTCCATAATTCCATTTTTTGGTTCTCAGATGGTTTGGGCTGTGCCTCGGCTTTACCAGGCTGTCACAGAATCCCAAATTCACAACATATAGTCCCCTGGGGTCACTGGACCTGGCTCCTTAGAGGACAGTCAGATGAGGGTTTGACCTGTCCCCTGTCCCCCATTGCTCAGGTTAGTCTCTACAGAATGGAAGCCAGTGGCACTGAGCTGGAGATGAGAGGGGAATCCGGAATGGGGCTGTCTGAGTGAAGGTCTAACAGAGCTGCCACAGCCCCTAGGAAGTCCCTGGGTTCCTCCATCGGGTCAGCTAGGAGGGACTTGGGCAGGAAGAACATGCTTAGTGGTAGGGGCTATAGGGGGATGGTTAAAGGAGAGCAGGGGCTTATGCTTTATGAAGAACATATCTCGAACGCTTCTTGCCTTTCTGGAAATGTGGGGGGACACAGCTGTGCAATGGTACATGTCCCTGTGTTCCAACGACAATGCTTGGCTAGGCGGCAGGGTCTTAGATGACCAGCAACTAGCCCTGTGTGCTCTAATCCTCCATGGGGCCAGACAGCGCATAAACCCAACATCAAGCCTATCCTGGATTCAGCATTCATGGCTATGCAAGGTGATGGTGGCTCACAGTATGCTCTGGTGGAGTGGGGCCACCTGGGAGCTCCTTACTTACATTGGTGAGCCTTCCGTGTACCTTGGAGTTAGGTCACAGGAGAAGGGAAATGAGGGCTTCAGGCACAGAAAAAGAGTGTGTGTGGAGAGTGGGAGTAAACAGGCATGGTGGCTCACGCCTTTAATCCCAGCACTCAGGATCAGTGTGAGTTTGAGGCCAGCCTGGTCTACAAAGTGAGCCCAGGACAGCCAGGACTACATAGGGAAGCCCTGTCTCAAAAACAAACAACAAAAATGAGACAGAGAAGCAGTTTTCCGAGATGAGTCACAGCTGATGGCTTCAGGAAACATGTGGTTTGAATTACAGGACAAGGGTTCTGGCTTCCCATCCTATTCCAGTGAGAGGAGATGTATGTTCTAGAGATTAATGCAGACCTGTGTTCCATGGGTAGATCAGGGGAGGTATGTGACATGGGATTTCTGTCCCCCTCCTGGTCCCTGCAGGAGCCTGGGGTGAAAGTGGCAGATAATAGAGATATAGAGAAAACGAACCAATCAGTAAGTGAGTGATAAATAAGGAGCTAGATCATGGAAAGATAATAGAAGACAGACCTACCAGTCAGTAATACATAAATTATAGTTAGACACACAGTCAGTAGGCTGATCAGTAAGTGGACCTGATCTAACCCCATGTATCAAAATATTATAGTTTCAACAGGCAGTCAATATATAAGCAATACAGAGCAGTTAGATACTTCACGCCCCTTTTGTGTGAAGTCTTCTGTATCAGTGTGCTCTCACATCCACAGCCCTCACAGTCCGCAGGACAAGCCCTCAACAGTACAAATAGAAGCAGAGGAGAATCAGGGTGCATAGACCTGCTGCTCTGAAACCCTCAAATGCCTCCCTAACCTCCTGGGCTGTCACCATAATGGGCCAGCGTGCCCCAAGCCTTAGACTTCCATCCAAGGCTGAGCGTTCTTAATCCTGGATACCGTTCCTTCCCTCCCACCTCCTCCCCACATCTTTTCCTGGCCTTTCCTAAGGCTCAGCCATGCTAGAGGATTCATGCCCCAATTCTGGATGCTCTCATAAAAGACAGAGGTTTTGCTAGTGAGCATCTGGCCCCACTATGCCCACTGACACTCACATCCTGCTCTGTGGGAGCCTTTTTCTTTCCACCTTAGTGTTACTGCCCCAGGCCCTGCCCACAGGCCAAGCATCAGAAGCCCAGAGGCCTGGAGGACAAAGGGCCCAGCATTGGGGAATCACACCGGACCAAGGTGCTGTCAGCAGGCCCTGGACACTTTACATCCCTGACTTCTTGTTTCTGCTTCAAGGCCTGAACCACTGGCCTTCCCTACCCAGTGTATCTGCTGGTGACAACAGCAAGGTGAACAATGGGGTGCACCTATGCCCAGCTTTGCATGAGATTCTGGAGTTTCACAGTGTAGACACCAGGATCAGTTCAGGGCAGAGACTTGAAGCCAAGGCCAGCAGCATCGAAGGGGCCACAGGGACGGCAAGCAGGTAAGGAGTGAAGACAAGCCACCAGCCCACAGCCCTGTTCCTGGTAGCCAGACTCCTCTATACGCTGCTTGGGTCAAGTGCAGAGGACATGGTCACATGTCCCTGAAAGCCAGCTGCTCTGTGTGGCTCCTGAGACCACAAGATTAGTGTCCCATCTCCAACCTGATGTTGAGGCCTGAACCCTTGACAGATGGTCCCAGAATAGTGCTTTTTTTAGAAATAAAGAATTAACACGACAAATTCCAACATGTTCTTGAAGATAAGTGAAGGAAAGATTAAACACCACCAAGCCCCAACCTCTAAAATGTGGGCAAATAATCACCAAACCCAGAGGGCAGTGCCTTTTGTTTTGCAGTGCTGGGGACCAGATGCAGGCTCATACACGTCCTGAGCAAATGCTGCCACTCAGCTACTCCCCACTGATAACACGCTTGAGACTGCCTCTCGGCTGTTCTCCAAGCCTGACAACACCCTTATACCTGCCACTCAGCTGCTCCCCAAACCCGAAAACACCCTTTAGACTGCTGGCGGCTACGAAGCAATGGCTTAATCCATAGTCACTTTCCTTGTTGTCTGCTGGGCCCTAGACCATCACCCTCTCATCTGACTGGAATGCCTGTCCTCCTCCTGGTGTGGCAGATGCAGTTTGTTTCTAGGATTTCAAGGGTTTCTTCCCCTCCCCGACAGCTTGTTACTAGAGGGCTGTAGAGGACCTTTCAGGTCTCGAAACTGGAGCGTTATGATTTAGAGGCCAGTTCCTTTGTGTCTAGACCCCGTGTGGCCCCAATACCATATGTTCTGGCTCACATTGGCACCATGACATGATGTCTTCACTCTGTCATGCATTCCAGAATAGAGTGAGCCAAGCTGCCAAGTTGCAGGAAGCCTGCTGCCCTACAGTGGGCCATAACACATCCAGCTGGTTGCCATCTCTCACATCCCCGAGTTAGGACATCTCCATTTGAAGCCCTGGGATAGATCCCACCTGCCATGGTCCCTTGGAACCACTAATCTCCAGAAGGTTGATGATAACAAGTGGGAAAGGATAAGATCCCAGCGACATGCAGCTGATGTCTTCATCTGCGCATTTTCAAAACTGCAACCATGCCGCTCTACTGTGGAAGGCCCGAAGCTTCACTGCCATTGGTGCTGGGATAGTTGGCCTGGCTGTCCCCTGCTGTATGGCTTTTGGGCAATAACCTCCATGAGACCCCATGTCAGAGACACTCATAAGGTGAAGGCACTCCCACCAGAAGAGGGATGCGGAACAGGGTTCTGGCTCCCACCTTCTGGGGAGGGGAGTGAGAGCGTTGGTGTAGGCCCTTCTCTTCTTTGTTGGCCATGAACCACAAACAGCCACCCAGAGTTCCTCATCCGCTTTCCACACTAGGTACCAAGGGCTTAACAGCAGGCTCTTGGGCTCTAGCTGCAGCGAGTGCTGCAGAAACACTCCTGGTGGGTGGCTGTGGCTGGCTGAGCATGCCTCCGGGATCTGGACACCTAGCTGTACCTTCAGCCTGGCCCTGCCATGGAACCAGCCACGATGGCAGTCTGCTCTGCATGAGAGAACTGATAATGAGTTCCAGCCCCTGCTCAGGGACCACACGGACTGGTGGCTTTCTTTTTCCTAGCCCTGTAGATGAATATAGGAAGGAGACTCTTGGACTTTGCCTCAGCCCCTTCTTATCCCCCTATGTTGCCCCCATTGCACCCTCTTAGGCAGAGGCATGGGGAGAGCCTGGCCTCTAATTGTCCTCTCCATTCCTTAAGGATCATGACCACAGTCTGCATCTCTGGGCAGCCTGGCAGCCAGAGGAACTTGGCAAAGTTCCCCATGCCTGTCCACAGGCCCAGAGGAAGGACAGAAATAGGAATCCTTATGAGACCCAAGTGGTTTCTCAGGGTCAGCCAATGGTCTTGGCTCCTTCTAGTCTGTGAAGACACAGGGCACAGGTCCTGACCTCCACGTATCCTGAGCTGCTGCACACACACTAAGGGGGAGTTGGACTGGCCTCTGCTCCTCTTGGGAGCATTGAAAACCACAGTCCCTGGGCCAAGGGGACTTGCGGGGGACAACTGAGCACAAGGCTCTAGCCTGCTCCCTGAGGACTGGAGGACCCTGTTGGACTCTCACTGTTCTGCTCCCAAAAATAATGAAAAGCAGCTGTAACCGTGGCCCATGCACTGCTGGGAAGGGCAGGCAGGGATATCCAGGCCTAGGGGAGGACATACCATGACAGAGCTGGGTTTGTCTGCTCTCCGTAGGCATGCTATGCCATGCTACACAGCACATACCACTCTGTCTGCAGTGCCTTGGTTCCACAGGAACCCCGTGGTGATGAAAACACTGAGAAAGCCAGGGACCTAGGCCCTGCCAAGTACCTGTCCACATTTGACATCTGGTAGGAGCCAGCTCCATGTAAAAACGGAGACATGGGCTATTTTCTTCCTTGGGGGCACTGGCGAACCCCAGGACCAGGTGACATGCTTGAGGTCAGGCAAGGACGTGGAGGAGCAGAGTGACCTCACCTAAGCCTGAGGGATAGAGAGGCCACTGATGGGAGGGACTACCCCTGCCTCATACTCTTCAGGGGCATATGTGGTGAGGGGAACCTGAGGCAGGGCAGGGTGGCTACATTCCTGGCTCCCTGAGATAGCTTTATGTCATGATAATCACTGTCTGTCTGCACTCATGTCCCTGAATGTGGTGGGTTTGTGTGCATGTGTGCCTGAGTCAGGGGGAGGGGGCATGTCCTCACATAGTCCTGCCCTATGCCTGGCGCCCACACCTGGCACCCACACCTGGCACAGACCTCCGTTGACACTAGGGTTTTTGTTCCCAGAGGTGTTCTAATGGGAGATAGTTTACCTCTCAGTCAGTTAAGCCCACTTTGTACCAATGGGCAACACTGATCTTTGCGGGGAAGCAGCCTGGGGCAGCCCTGGGTGCCCTCCTCCATCCACAGTTCCCAATCTGTTCTCACACTGTCCAGGGAATGGAGGCCTCAGCCCAGCCAGCTCCCCTGTGTGAGTTATGCCTCAGCCACCATCCTGGCTGGCCAACTTCACACATTCCCAGCTTCACACATTCTGCCTGGGCTCCAGATGCACAGGAGAAGGCCTAGACGATGGAGTGTTGCCCTCCTTAGCCAGCTAGACTTAAGTTCTACTCTGACAAACTTTAGAAGGGGACCCAGATGTGGCCCTCAAGAACCTGTGGCCTGCAGGGTCATACAAGTCTTCTCTTGCCCAAGTAAAGGGACATCAAGTGCTTTTTTGTACCCTGGACAGGAAGAGTCCTGAGGGCCCCACGGGTAGACAACCTACCATCCTCCAGGGTCTTCCCAGAGCCCAGGAACTTCACCTGCTCAATGGCTCCTGGACCTCCTTGGCTGTGGTAAGGAGAGGAGACCCCAAAGAGCCCTACACCACTGCCTGGGCAATACTGTCATGGCCAAGAGGAGGGAGCCTCCACAGCCTAAGGTGTGTGGGAAGGGTATGCTTCAAGGACAATAATCCATTGCATCCAATGGTGTCTTGTTTGCATAGACAGTGGTGGGGTTTCTGGGTGGAACTGAGATACATATTGCAAGGGAGGCCTCTGGGTTGGGTACAGCACTTACAAGCAAGACATGGGACAAAGAAATAGAGTTGTGATCTAAGAGACCCTGAAGCAGCCAGTTACGAGTCTTCAGAGCCTAGGCTGGCTTTGCAGTCATAGGGCTCCCTCTAATGCCTAGCTCTTACCATGACACCTTCCCTCACAGCTAAGACAAGAGCCTAGCTGCTTCAGGGCTGGGCTGAGTCTCTGGTCTCCTGGTTCTCTCACACAGGAATGCCCCTGAGAATCCTGGGAGTTTAGAGCCAGAGACAGGAAGAGCAGAGCCCAAGCCCACCTCTAGGCTTATGCTGGAGCCGGTTCCCCTGCGCCTTACAGGTGGGCTGGCAAAGAAGAGTCGATTGATATGGTAGGCTCAGACCTGGCCAAAGGCTGGTGGTACTGAATGCTACCAAGCCACCTTCAAGGCTGCTGAGTGGCTCTTGCCCATACCACAAAGTCCTTCAGGGATGGGTCTTCACCAGGCCAGTTCAGGGAGAGGTAGTTTTTGAACTTCTTGCCATCGAGAAGAGCGCTGGCCTCTTGAGGAACTAGAGTTTCACCAGTGTGCAGCCCCAGGTGTCGCTGGGTGAGGTAGTCACGAGGTGTTGAGACAACTGACACAAATAAACCCACGTCTAGGTTGGGGATGTACTGGGTCACTCCTGGGGTCGGCCTCCATCTCCCCAACCTATAGAGAGAAGCAATGATGTGGTAATTCTCACCCTGGTGACTGGTGCCTTCTGTGCTGTTGCAGCTCCATGACTCCAGCTGCAGCCAGACCATTCTGACTCCAGCCAAGGCAATCTGTCCTGATAGGCCATCCTGTTCATATGCTCGGTCCTAGCGTTCATGCAGTTCTTCCTTTTAGGCTGCCTCATCCTGTTTCCTCTGACCATCCAGCACGCAACCGCTCCATATCCTACCCTGCCTTAGTTTCTGATACTCTCAGATGCTTTAGTGGTCCCCTAGGCTGGGCTGGGGGCCCTCATGCTGCTCTGATGCATTCTAAGAGAATTCGCGGGAGCCTCCATGCCATGGTGTAGGGCCCTTTTGGAGTCCACACTGGCCTCAGGGTTGGTGACCAGCCCAGGGTTCTCTCCCCCATTGTTGCCTTTCTGAACATGAAACCTCACTACTTAGTGTCTTTCAGGAATGGCTCTGGATGTGGTCACCACACACCAGCCATGGAGGCACCTGAGATTTCAAGGAAAGCCACCTTTCACCTCAAGCACACTCATCCACAGACTGTGTGAGTCCCATGAGCTGAGAGCAGCCTCCATTTTGCAGTGGTGCCCAAGCTTAGGCTTTTCAGCCATGACAGACCTTAGGAGCTGCCCGGAGGATCCTGACATACTGGAGGCAGGAGAGCTATGCTCAGGGCGTGTTGTTGGCCTGACTCTCGCATTTTTTCTTTTTGGTCAGTTCTTCAGAGTAGCTCCTCTAGCTAAGAGCCTTTGGGAAGGCATAAACTCCTCTACTAAATGAGCTGGCTCTACTCCAGGCCTAGACTCTGCTGTGAGAGTCTCTTGGACTCTCTACTGCTATCTTCTAACTTTTTTTTTTTAACCTCTGTTAGTCCAGCATCGCACCTGCTGGTCAACCATATTCTGATTTCCTCCTTTCTCCAGGGGATGTCCAACAGGAGTTTTCATGCAAGTCCAGAGCCAGTCCAGGAACATGGAGCCTACATTGTTCTCTGCCTAGCTTTCACAGGGCTTTTGGCTTAGTCTCTCTAGTGCCATATGATGGTGGGAAGTCAAGGTCCCTGGGGGATCTGATAACAGCCCCTTAAGAACCCACATGGTAGCGTTAGATGGAAGGTAAAAATAATATACTGCATGTACACCACTTGAGAACTCCACATTGCCCTGGACCTAGTGTGCCACTCAGCAAGTCTGCTCACTTAGGTGCTGAGACTGAAGCAGAGAGCCGCTGCCAAACCTACTGTTCCCAAGAGCCTGGTCATACCTCCAGGGCCTCAAGGACCCATATTGGAAATCTAGGTGGGCAGGGTGCAGGAGCCATGAGGGCCATATGGAGACCTTATCAGGGGCGTGGCCTCAGTTCTCTGGCCCTATGTCCTGATTAACATGACCCATACTTCTGCAAAGGGCTCTAGGGAGCTGCTGGAAAGAGATGGAGGAAGAGGAGGCAGATGAAGAGGAGTAAGAGTAAGCGGGGCCGAGACAGGAGCAGCGCCCATACTCACTGTTGTGGCTCTTCCTGCCCTGGACTCTGTCCTGCCATAACTCTGCTGTAGGAACCAAACAGCCCTCCTCATAGGACTGTCTGAGATGAGGCCAGCCGCATGTCTGAACTGTCAGCAAGAAAGACAGGAGCTGTCTGTGATATCACACGCACAGGAGCGCAGAGTCCCAGATGAGCTCATCTGACATGTGACATCATCTCCTCCCCGGAGTGGCTCCGCTCAGGGATAGGAGAAGCAGAGGCCACTGCTCATGGAAGCTGTCCCCCCAGCCCTCTGCTGCAGACCTGGGAATGGTCTGCACCTTCTCAGTGCCCGTCTATATTGGGGCCAGGGGACAGTGGCTCACACTCATGTGATTTCATACCCTGGCCAATCTTCTGCATTGTAGCCCATAGAGTTTGGACTCGGCTTCAGATGCCAAGGCCAGCTGCTCCTTACCTGGGCAGGGCTCTGAGAATGCGGCCTCAGACAGTACTAGTGACATATCTGCTTGACCCTGAGTGGTTTTGTATAAGATACTATAATGTACTGCCCTGAGTAGCCATTCCCAGGGAGTCTGATTAGCATTGGCCAGGTCAGGCTCTTTGCTGCCTGGTCCTATAGCTCACCTCTGCTGTTGGTCCATATGCCCTGGCTACTGCAGCTGCCCCAGGAACTACTGGATGACGTCTTTCCGCAAAGCCTCTCAGTCACTGTGGGCTCATCAACAGACATCTCACACTCTCCGTGCTGGGAGCTAGGCTTGATGCCTGCCGTGTGGCAGCTGCCCTGGCTTTTGGAGTGGTGTGAGAGGTGGTGGAGGGGATGTTGGCTACTGCTCCTATTGTCTTCATTGCTTGGGGAGGCCCTGCTACATGGGTCCAGGTCCAAGTCCAGTGGGTCATGAATATAGGATTCCCGGTAGCGCTTCTTCTCTGTGTAGGAAACAACAAGAGCCGGTGTTGGAGGGAGATGAAGTACCACCTGCATTCCTAGGGCCAGTGGTGGTCAGAGTTCTGCCAGCCTGAGACGCATCAGAGCCCAGGTATGTGAGGCAAAGCATCACCCTTGGAGAATGAGCCCTGTATTCCCATGGTGACAGCTAGACAACCATGAATGGAACTTGTCCCCAGCAGCCTCCTAGCATCCCCTTGTGATGGTTCTTTAGGCTGTGACACTTTGTCTCATAGCCACAGACCCATCCTGAGCAGCCCTGGTGCCCTTGGTGCCCAGGACAGGACCAGGTGAGAACAGAGTCCATTGGCTGCTTCTGAGGAGGCATGGATGTGGGATGTGTGTACCCAGCACCCTCAGAGCCTTGCCACATAACACGGGCACAGAGGTCCACTCACTCATGCCTCACAGATATGTTCAGGCACACTCCCCCCCCCCCCCACTGCCTGTGCAATATGGCTTCAGTGTGAAGAAGTCAGGCTCTCAGTGGACTTGGAAAGAGAGAACAGTGGCTTTTGGGGCTGACCCCCATACAGGTTGCATCTTTGGCTCTTTGTAGGGATAAGGATGTGAGGAATAAGACACTGTAGAATCATGAGCATCTTGGAGTGAAGGACAGAGCCACCCACTTTCCATCCTAATCCCCATGGGGTGGGATCACCACCAGCAGCGATGGGCGCAACAGACCATGTGGCCTGGATGAGGATCCTGAACAGCCAGCCGGCCTCGGGAGTGGGTCTCAAGGGCTGATTCACCATATCCTCACACCCTAGAGAGGGTGTGTGGCCATCAGCTAGGTGCCCGGATCCAGGTAGATCTCATACCCACCTTCTGCCTCCTCCAGCTGCTGTAGACACTGCAGGACAGGCCGCAAGCTGAGGTGGACCTGGTGCGTGGTGCGAAGCAGTTGCAGCAGGTAACGGGAGCGCCAGGCATAGCCCGTGTGGAACAGCAGCTTCCGTGTTGCCAACAGCCCTTCTGGCTGGATTTCAAGCTTCTTCCCCTGGATAGGCGAGAAGGCCAATGTGATTTTACAGTCCAGAAAACTGTCCCAGCAGCAGGAGAGAAATACCTTAATATCAGCCATTAGTCCCAACTGGACTCCGGCCCACACTTCCAGTTTAGAGAATTGGTGTCCCTGTAGAAGCAGGTCTGTGGTCACTGACTCAGTCCCATCTGTCTGCAGTCATGAGGAAGCAGAAGGAACCTGGGGCAGCCCTCCTGTGGAGGACCTCCCTGCTTGAGACTAAAAATAAGTCTTTCATACAGCATATGCAGTGAACTCTGGTCACTGTCTGGGGCCAGCCAGCTGTCTGGCGACCCTCAGTGTCATGGCTGTGGGTCCAGAATAAATAAGGTGAACAGAGGCTGCAAGGTGTGACCTGAAGGTACCATGTCTTTTCTCTTTGTTGCTGAGTGGGAGCTCAGAAATTGGTGGTAGCCACAGCGATACATCTCTCAGAGAGCTCGATACCACTATGGCTGTGCCACCAGGAATGGCTGTGAGGCCCAACAGGACTGGGAGATGCCTGGGATGCAGAGAGGCCATAGGGAGCTCTCGATCCATCCTGAGGATAAAGTTGCAGGTTCCTGGGTCCTTAGGCTCCCAAGTATTGTGGATGCCATCCCCTTCAGACACCCACCAGAAATGTCACCTTCGAAATATGTGACCAGGGGAGGTCGCAGAGCAGCTGTGGCGCCTGGTCAGTCTCCTGAAAGACAGTGGTAATGTGGAAACCAGAGGCCAAGACAGCAGGTGGTGGGGGAGGGCAGAGAGAAGGGAGGGGGTCCTCACCTGATAGATGTGCACTCCTTTCAGAGTGAGTCCCAGGAGAACAGTAGGGTGATCTTCCTTCTTGTCCTAAAAGGACGCAGATCACTGGGGCAGGTGGAAGGAGGTCGGTCCAATAGGCTGGAGGCTCCACCAACTGGGAGCTCTGCTTAGGCCCGTCTCATTGCCCTACATATGCCCAGACCACCCTGCAACCTGTCCAGGGTACATGTGTGCTATATTCCCACAGGTATTTGAACCCCGTGAACCTCATAGACAAAAGTTCCATCCTTAGTGCCTGCTGTGGGAGGCTGTCCCTGGAGAACAGAGGCCACGCTGTGCTCCGGCCGTGAAGGAGGGCAGCCAGAGGGGCCAGGCATAACAGTCCAATCAGTGCTACACCAAAGCAGTTAGAGCAGAGGCAGAGCGAAGGTTTAACAGAGTTCAAACACCAGAGAAAGTCGGCATGCCACCTCCAGGATAGCTGCCAAGTAACCCTTCAACTCATCACGTGCCAACCACGCCCTAAGGACAGCCCCACCGACCCTACCCTGGAGCCCTGGTCACATTGTCAGCCATGGGGAATATACCCACCCCTGCTGTTTGCTGGGTCCCCCCCCCACCTGTGACACCATGAGGCCGACCTTGTGTGGCCTGAAGAAGTGGACAGGGACGTCCTCGAGTCGGCAGGCATCCCTGATGAAGCGTAGCACAGCCTCCTTAGGACTCAGGTCCTGCTGTTCACGGTGCATGGCGGGCACATGCCTGAGGATGTAGTCAGCTCCTCTCTTGTTGATAATCTGAGGACAGCCACCAGCTAGCTCAGACCCCCCGCCCCCCACCCCGCCTTTTCTCTGTGCCGACCTCTCCCCACCTTTGGAGTCAGAGCCAACATCATAGCTAGAGCATATGTCCAGCGGACTGACTTGGGCCTTCTGCGTTAGACTCAGACCCAAAGGTGAGGATGTGATGCCCCTAAATCTTTGGTCCTGCTCCCCTCTCTTGTGTCACTCAGGTGCCCACAGGACCATAGAAATAGCCCTCTTTAGAGATCTGTGGAGCTCATTTCACCCCCACAGCCACTGTTCTTGGGAAAACTCCTCAGTGAGGAGGCCATGGCTGAAATCAAAGGGCTCAGGCTCCAATGAGCCATCTGCAGAACCATTTGCTCAGCATGTCAGTCAAGCGAAGACTGTGCATACCAAGGACAACCACCTGTTGCCCACTCTCCTTCCAGTATATAGGTGAGGAAACTGAGTCACAGAGGCACTACGGTACCTGGGATTGTGGGCTTTTACAGAGCCTGGGTGGTTAGCGCTCTGCAGCTGGGCAGGCCACCATAGCTCAGAGAAGTTTAGCTTTCTGGGCTTATGCAGGAGCTGAAGGCATGGCCAACTTTGGCCATCGCTTCTATCCCACACTGCTAGCCTTTGCAGTGTTGGTGTTGGGGGTAGGTGAGCACCCTTGGACTTAGGTTCCTCTGTCACTATGCCTTTATCCTTCTTATCCCCTCATTTTCCCCTTATTCATGGATTCCAGAGTTGGCTCTTGGTGAGCAGACATCAGACCCCCCCCCACACACACACACAAGGAGGGTACCACATAGCCTTACCCACTGTGGGAAGTAGGCGTGTGGCTCGAAGTACCTGCCCACATGAACCGACTCCTGGTGGTTGCCCAGGTCAGCCTGTAGCCCACAGGCGGCCAGCAGGAAGTAGGTCTCCTCTCTGTGCATGCACTTGGACCTCAGTACCTGCTCCTTCAGGTGGCAGTAGTACAGGTGTCGGGCCGTCTTGTCACTGGAAAGCAGCAGGGCGGGGGATGAGGAAGAGCGAGTCCTCCCGTTGCAGCCTGCCCTGCATCCCTGCCCCTCCTTCCTGGTCCACAGGCATCTGAGCACTCTCGGTGGTCACTTTGTCGTCTGTTCATACACATGGGTGTCTCCTGTTTCGGGGTCCTTAGTGAGACACGGATGAAGTCAGGGGCTTTAAGCAAGACGAGGTCTGTCTTTACAGGTGACGCACTCTAGCAGCTGAGCTCCCAGTGACAACGGGTGTCATTTGAGAGAGCTCCGGAATAAGGGCACTTGGAGTCCTGGCACAGAGGCAAAAACCCTCCACCACAGACTTGCCTCCCAGGCAGCCAGTCTACCTATCCAATGTCATCATCTGGCCAAAAGCAGGACTTCACTTCTGAGAACCTCTCCTGCATCTTTTAATATAGCAACCCGGCTGGCCATTGGTACAGGGAACTGTCATCAGCCTCCATCTGGTTGTCCCTGCTAAGATGTCTCTAGAGCTGTCCACATAGCCACACATCCTCATTCTCCAGAACCTTCTTCAGTTAATCCCGTGTTCCCTCATTCTCTAGAGCCTTCTATAGTCACCTGCCTCTGACTCAAGAATCTTCCGCATCCCCATTCACCCTTTCTAGACAGCAGCACCAGACTTACACTTGCCAAAGGCCATCCTAAGGACACAGGAGCCACACTGACACCTCCTCAGAGTTCTGCTTGGAGAGCATCTGGTTCTTTGATGGTCCCTAAAGAGCTCACCACTTCCTGTCAGACACTAAGGCAGCCCAGTGAGGGCAGCAGATCTACCTCTTGGAAAGCAACCTACTGGTTCTCTACTCACTCTTCTCAGGACCCTCCCTGCCCAAGTAGACTTAAAACTTGACACGCCCAGCAGGAAGCACAGTTCCCATTTAAAGCTGAACTCGGAGGAGACATCTGCCACGGACATCAGGAGTCTCTTTATATTTGGACTCTTCCCCTCTCTCCCCCTCCTCCCCACCCCCCAGGCACCTTGGAAGGTACTTGCCTATTAGGACATGTGTTTCACTTTCCAGGCAGTGTCTTTGATTTCAGCGTAGTTACCTTATTGCCCTCCCGTTTTCCACGTAGAACTGCACTCTGAAGAAGACGATAAAGGGCGCCCTGGGTCTTTTATCTCTCTGTCAGGTAGAAGAGTGAAGAAAAAGGCAGGAGCCTGGAAATGAACCCCAATGAGGCATGCACAGCTGGGCAGCTTCTACAGGGGACAGCCTACATTCAGGCCTCAGTGATTGTGATTAATTATACTATCTTACCTTATTTTTCTTTTAAAGGGGAAAAACCCAAGTAGAATGTTGGCAAAGGCAGTTGAAAGCATGAAATAGAGGGACATGGAGCTGGTGATCCACCCACCATCAATTCTTAGAATGTAAGGGCAGGCCTTGGGTGCTGGTGCAAGTATGCCAGAGGACAACTCTTGACAGACTGGTGACCGTGGCAGCAACAAAGGGTGAATGTCACCTAGAACCTGCCCATCCCAAGTCCAAGGGAACCCTTCACAGTCTCTGGCTTCAGTGATGCACCTGGCTTTTCCCTCTGTCCCACACTTACTTTGTGCATTTTTGTCTTCCAGTCCTTCGAGAAGTATTTGCTGAGCTTTTGCCTCAGATCCATGAACACATACTCATTGTCTAGAGAAGGGAAATCCATATCAGAGAAGGCATTCTCATTGTTCCAGGAATCTCACCAGGCAAGAGCCCAGCCCAGCAGGAGCAAGTCTGTCCCATTACACAGAGCTTTGCATCCAGCTGGCGTGACACAGCTGTCTCCTCAGAGGCTGAGCACCTTGGCAAGCATAGTCCATACAGATGCTGCAGTTAAGACACGGTCATCTCAGACTGTGGCAATCGCCTTCCTGGGGCAGAGTCACCATGGGCTGGTTCTCACTGTAGAGCACCTAACCTGCAGGTCTGAGCTCCAGACCAACCTGTCACCAAACTGACGAGTGTCAGTGAGCCACTCCACCCTTGCTGGCAGGGCTGCCCCGAGCAGGGGTTCCCGGAGACACTCCATGCTGAAGCAAGCTTTCCTGTGCTTCTGGAGTGGACCACTGTGCCTTTCCTGTCTATGCTAGAACGGCATAAACACCTGCCCCAGAGAAGACTGAAGAGCCCCGAGGCTTGTAGGCTTGATACCCAGAACTGAGGTGACTGTCTGTTGAGAAGTGACTATCTGGGAAGCATGGAGAAGCAGGTGCCTTGGCATCATGGATCTGGTTAGAGCTACGTGGCCAGACCCAGCGTCACAGTTTGTTCTTATCAGGTCAGCCACATTTGGTGGGCGTGCTACCACTTCCCAGCCCAGCTGGTGCCCAGCAGACACTGAAGGCCAGCAGGACAACCCAACCCACGGTCCTGGCTCCTGAGGCAATAGCTACCCACATAGACAGGAGGCTGGGGGGGGGGTTAGAAAATGCACAGGAGACAACTACAGGCTTAAGGCAATGGAGGGCGCCCACCCTGCATGGTCGTCTCTTAGAACAGGCAGACTCCCTGTTTCTTCCCAGCCAACCTTTCCCATACCCAGAAAGGCAGAGTGCTGAGACGATCCTCAGACTCACCTGTCCCTGTCAGCACTGTCCCTGGCCCTCCCTCCCTGGGCCTCAGAGGGTATGGTTGGACATGAAGCTTCATGAAGCAATCAAGCTGTAGTGAGCTCATCAGGACAATCCAAAGGATAAGCACCATCCTAACTTGGACTTAGATGTGAAAAGTCAGACAGAGAGGGACAATGAGAAGACACAGGAAGGAGGCTTGTCCACAGGCCACAGAGAGACCATGGAAGATTCAGTTGTTAGCACCTTGACCTGAGACATCCAGCTCCCAAGACTTTGGGTCGCAAATGTACTCAGTGGCCCAATCAGAACAGTAGCCACCCAATGCCTAGGACCTCTCAGGAATTGTTAGGCCTGGACTCCAGAATCAAACTCCTCAATGTGACACACCTCCAGGCAGGAGAATGCAATGGAAGATGACTGAGTGTTGAAAAGAGTGGATCTAACCAGTCAGGAAAATACACTGAATGTCCCTAGGAGACAGGCTGCTAAGGTTGTACAATGTTTGGCGTGCACCGCCAGCCTGAAAACCATAAGAATGTAGCGACTGAAAATGGGTCAGAGTTTCCAGGGGATACAGAACACAGGCGCTTGCACAGTGACGCTGCCTGACAAGCCCAGGAGAGAGCTTCACGTCAACCATGGGCTAGATGACACGGATGGGTCCCCATGAATTCACAGATTGTGAAAAGTCTCCTGTCTTCTAGAGTGACTGGAGTAGGTGGAAGGACTCTACAGGGAAAATTTTGTACTTTCTGTTCAGTTTTGCTATGATACTAAAGCTTTTCTAAAATGTGGAGCCCTAAGGCTGGGGCTGTAGCTCGGTGGTAGAGTGCTTGCTTCACTTGCATAAGGCCGTAGGTTCAATCCCCAGTACTGCCACAGAACAATGTCGTCTGCCTCCATGTGACTAAGCAGTGTGGACAGCAGTTCTCAAGGGGCTCTTGCCCAGAGGTCCATACGTGATTCAGTAAAGGAGGAGCCTGCTGCTTCTCTCCCACTCCCTGCATTCCAGCATCAGGGGAGGCCTTAAATTAGTCTGCTGCCAGGGCAGCCCCATGAGTTCAGCAGGGATTCTACAAAGCCCACACAATCAGGGGCTGCTACCCCCCAGGGCCGTATCCCTGTGGGAGAACTGTTTCTCTTGCAGGCCCTGTGCAGGCCGAGCACACTGTATCTAGCCTGACTCAGGAATGTGGCTACATTCCAGCTTTAATAAAATTCCTAGATGGTTGCTTGCTGTTTCTTGGGGCCCCCATGGGGGTGATAGAGCTGGTTCTCTAGCCAGAAGCTCCTCTAAGGCAAGGGCTGACCCTGAAGTTGGCATCGCTTCACAGCCAAGACATAAACTGGGAAGTGCCGTCAGCCTTTTAATTTTTTTATTTTATTTTATTTTATAGGTGTGAGGTTGTCAGATTCCCTGGAACTGGAGTTACAGACAGTTGTGAGCTGCCATGTGGGTGCTGGGAATTGATCCCAGGTCCTCTGGAAGAGCAGACAATGCTCTTAACCACTGAGCCATCTCTCCAGCCCCGTGCCATCAGCCTTGACAGCTGCCTTCTGGGTGGCGACATTGTGGGGCTTCCAAAGCACCCCAGGAGGCCACTTCAACTCCTTGACCTGTACTGAAATGAGTAGCCTGGGATGGGCAGGTTGAGAAAGAGAAAGAATCCAGTTAGCAAGATAAGAGGAGATGAGTGAGAGGATGATACCAGAGTAGACAGATAAAGACCTAATTCAGGCAATGAGGTTGCCTGGCCCTGGCCCTATGGAATTCTTATCCTGAGAAAATGCTCCAAGATTAGCCTCAGGTGCTCTTAAGAGAAACCCTTGCGCAACAATGCTGGAAACAAAGCCTCCTGAGACTGGCACGTGTCTCAGGATCAACACTGACACTGAACTCCGCTGCACGCCCGAATGTTAGTGTGCCTGAGCATGGCTGTGCCTGTGTGCTTCAGCTACCTGTCTGATAGTCCTCCCTAGTCAGATGGGCTTCATCCAGGCTCCTGAAGACTTAGAGGGTCCAGGTGGGTACGGAAGGGTGGGTGAACAGCTGCCACCCACAACTTTTAGGCCCTAGCTACAGTGTTGGTGTCCTGCCTGTAGGTTCCAGACTTGCTGGCCTGGGTTTCCTGAGCTCCCTCCCCTCCCTTCTCACCATCACTTCCCTCTGATCTCCCTCACCTACATATAAGGAACTATTTCTCCTGACTCCATCTCTGCAGAGCCCTGTGAAAGCACAGGCTTAGCTTTAGGAGGGCCATATTAGCTGGCTTCCCAATCCTAATAGGAGGTAATGCCCACCTCTGAAGCCTGACCAAGTCCACGGCTAGAATCACCCTCTTAGCCCTAGGCCAGGTTACTTTGGCACACAGCCTATTGACTGGATAAAGTGCCCACATCTCCTCCATTCTCCTGTGGCCTCCATACCTAGTGTGAAGGGAAGGCCAGCTCAAGGCCAGCTCCAAAGACATGGAGAGGCAGACATAAGGCTGACCTTGGAAGTTTCAAGTACTACCAACCAGGGCCAGGCAGGACGGCGCCGGCTCTCTGCCTCACTCCTGCTTACTCTATTTCGACTCCTTGCAAGCAGAGGGCAGGCCCTTACCTTGCTTGTTTTTGTTTTTGAGGCAGAGCATCACAGCTCAGGGTGGTCTGCAACTTACCACGGGTTCCAGGATTCCTTCAATCTCATGACCCTCCCGCTTTATCTTCTCAGGTCCCAGGACCACATGCCTGCACAACCATGCCTAGTCATGCCTCGCTGTTCACTGTTCACCTCAGTCTCAAAGGTGTGAAATTATAGACCACGAAACAACTAAAGCTATTAAGAGTCCAGATCTCCACTGCAAGTGCTCTGGGCACATACTGGAAGGGTGCACATCAGTTCGGAGCCCACCTGGAAGCATTGGCATGATTGGCCCAGCTGGCAGCCTTCTTCTCCCTTCAGGCCCTCCAGGTGCGCTCTGAGCCCATCAGCCCTTAGCTCAGTTTGGAGGAGGGGAACGCTGAGTCTTTCTCCGCTCATGTCCTGACCACTTGCTCCCTGACTTGGTAAGACATCTGGCTTGGGTGGTAAGGCTGGTTGGCAGGAACTGAGTCTTCCCCGTAAGGAATGTCCCCACACTGGGAGAAGGCACTGGGTAAACATTTACTCCCAGGCCCGCTTTGTGCTGTCTGGCTTCCTCAGCTGGTACCCAGCTGCGGCTGCTCAGCTCCCCAGGCCTCTCTGCCTCGCAGGCCCTTACAGGCCCCTCAATTAGAATAGACCTAGAACAGGCCTTGCTCCCCGTGGCCTCCTGTGACTCCTCCCTGATTACCCAAGTCCACTTCCTAGGTGTGGCTGCCCAGCTGTCAAAGGTCTCATGCGTGGACATTGAGCCTCGGCTAAGAAGCAAAGGTCAGAGAACACTTGGCCTGGTCTTAGTCATACCACAACCTTTGGTCTCGCACACTAGATACCAGTTACCTATAGCTTGGCAGCACAGGATCCCAGAAGGCTCCTTCACTCCTGGCTTTCAAGTGAGTGTGCCTGTGTGTGGACATGTGCCACGTGTATGGCTATACACGTGCGTGTAAGATGCACGTATGGATGTGTGTTTGAATGTGTGTGGTGGCTGCGTGTGAGTGAGCCTGTGAGGGAGTGCATGGTTTGACTGTGTGGGTCTGGCATGCGGTACGCACAACTGTGTATGGGTGCACGCGTAACTGTGTGTGGTCTCTATTTACGTGCACGTGTTTGTGGTGTGTGAGTATGTGTGTGTGTGTACCTGTGCTCTGTGTCGGTGTGAGCAGTAGGTACATTTTGTGGTGCGCGTGTACAAGTGTGTGTGCATAGGAGCGTGCAGACTCTAGGCATGCTGACCCAGCTGCCTGCTAGTCTCCCTGGTTCAGTTGTGGGCAGGGTCTGTGGTGAGATGTGTTTCCAGGGACTCCTATTCCTTGCCTCAGAGCGGCCTGTGCTCTGGTGTTATTCCTGTGCCAAGCGATGCTTACTTCTGATCACGCTGAGGCAAAAAACATGGGCATCTCGAATGTGTGCCATATCACACACTTGCTGGAAGAGCTCTTGTCCTGTGGCTGTAGCCTAGAGTAGAGGAAGAGCGTTAGCCATGGGCGGAGATCTCCCCCTATAAGACCCTCAGACTGGCAGGGACAAGGGTCAGGAAGGGAGCTATGGCACCTGCTCAGGTAGAGGCTGGAGGCAGGGACCAGGGCCTGGGCAGCCCACTTGTTTACAAAGCACAAATTTAAACATTGCCCCCCGTCCCCCAAAAAAAAGACCAGCCTTGGGAGTGGAGACGATGTGTTCCAATCCAGGCAGGAGATGCCCTCTTTCCTTAGGGGTCCTCTGCAGCTGTTAGAATTTGCCCACACAGCTGAACTTGATTTTTAAAAATCCACATTGGAAGGGTTCTGTAGAGGCCCTAGTTGTTGGCAGAGGGTGGCAGCTAGCATGAATCCATCTTGGTAATTTATGGTCACCTTCTGGGATGTCAGGTACCATCAGTACCTGCTCAATGCTGCCACCTGATATCGGAGGGAACCCCACAACACTAGTGACCTCGCCATGGCATTTGCTGGCTTACAGGTGGAGTCAAGTCCTTCCTGCAGCTGGCAAGGCCCTATCCCTGGGGCTGAGGCGGCCTAACTGTGCCTGAGGGTAGCACAATCCCGTGCCCACTGTATGTGGGCAAAGGAACGGTCTGGACCACAGAGGAAATATGTAAAGCTAAGATGTGGTGCTTCTTAGAGATCTGGAAAGGTCTCACATAACAGACTCAGTCCACAGAAGCTCCATGAGGGACAGGATGGCCCGTGACTGAGGGGGGACCCTGTGGGGACCAGGCAAGCTAAGGTGCTTGCTAGTGACCAGTAAGGTCGGCATTTACTAACTCTGCAGGGCACACCTCACAGTGAAGCCACGGTCCCATGCCCCACCATCCCTGGAGCCTCCTACACACAATCCCTGCTGTTGACCTTGCCTCTAGACACAGTCTCCACGGTCTACCCCCAGCCCACTGGACACATGTCTTCTGCTGTCTCCCACTCCTTGGGATGCAAAACCTCTGTAGCTGGGTCCCTGTGGACCCATGGCTCCCCCTCCGTGTCCTCCCTGTCCCTCTGGATGTCTGCTTACCTCCACCGACAGCCGCAGCTGTTCCCAGGTGGGCAGCAGGACTAGGATGTCCCTGAGCTCTGAGCTCATCTCAGGGTCCTGGGTGTTGGTTTCCATTGGGACAGCACACAAGGTCTCTCTCAGAACCAGTCTTTATTTACTGCCTCCTGCAGAAGACAGTGAACCAAGGACTGGAAAGCCCCGAGCCTCCCCCTCGGGCGGCACCAGAATGCCAGTTCTCCCATGTCCTCTCTGGTCAGCGCAGGGGAGTGTTGTCACCTCCCATAGGCAGCTGCACTGTCTGTGCTGGAAAAGCGTCTGGAAAAGACCTGGAACTTAGTGGCTGAGCAGGGAACAAGGGTCAGGGCTGAAGTGATGGGTGTGTGGAGGGAGACTGCTGGAATGCAGGCAAGCAGGACGAAAGGCCAGGGGCACTGTGTGCGGTGACTGGAGGGGGTGGGGCCCTGCCTCCATTGAGATGCTCCTTCAGTCCCTCAGAGGGCGGGTGGAGGGGTCCCACAGAGGCCAGAGTCGTGGCACCCTTCCTTTCCCTCTGCAGCAGGTGGGTAAAGCCAAGAAATGGGCCAGGCAGCTCACAAGTGAATGGACGTTCAGAAGTGGCTCCATGTCATCCCTGAGTTCCCTGTACAACACCCTGAGGACCACAGGAAGGATCTGTGGCCTTATGGATCCTCAAAAGACAACAGCTTTCTGTCTTTTGAGAAAACAAAACTGTAACGAGGTTCCAAGTGAGCACCACCTGTCAGTGTCCATGAGGGTTTGGGTCCAGGCCCCAACACACTAAGGTCCACGAACACTCAGGTCGAGTATATGACATCATAGCTTGCACGTCATGTACCTGCTCCTGTGAGCTCCCCTCGAGGTGGCTGGTGATGTCGAATGTGTAGTGCACACTTTGAACGTACTTGTCAGACTGCACGGTTGGGGGAACGATGATGAGAAAGAGTTCGTGTGCTCAGTGCATGGAGTGTTCTTCTCCAAATGGTTTGCAGGGGCCTATGTGTGCATGTATGGGAGTGTGCATCCATCTGTGTGACTACGGAGGTGGAGCAGGCATGTGTGTGGGAGGTTGACCTTGGGTGACCTTCATCACACTCCACACCTCATTTTGTGAGACAAGATCTCTTTACTGAACCCAGACCTCACAGGTTTAGCCAGACTAGCTTGCCAGAAAGCCTTAGAAATCCTCCTGTCTCCGTCCCCAACCCCAGGACTGGGTTAACAGGCACATGCTGCTCCAGGCTTTTTGTGTAAATTCTGGGGGAATCAAACACAAGTTCTGCTGTTGAAGTGCCAAGCCCCTTACTGACTGAGCCATTTTCCCAGCTCCAGTTCCATATATATATATATAAATTGGAATTTGGTTACCCCATGTGTCATATTCTAGCTTAGGTTGATCGAGGTGGAGGCATTAATCTGACTCAGGCTGTGGCTTTACAGGGTATAGGACGGGAACGAGGCCACTTATTCAGGTTCTTTCAAAGACCCTGTTTCTCTTCAGCCCAGTCTTCTCTTCTCCTGGACATTTGCTTTCCATCTCCTGCTACTAGATGAGCCTGCTGAGAATGTTCCAGAGCTAAAGCTTTGGAGAGTCTTAAAAGCCAAGGCAGACAGAACCTTCAGCAATAACGACGAGTGAAGATAGAAACTGAGGTGCTGAAAGGAACATGCTTGCCTGTTGACTCTACCCATGGGATGTCCAGGTAAGCTGAGGTCCCTGGAGCAAGATGGGTGTGTGACTGCCTGTGGAGGGGGCTGAGGTGGGCCGGCTTGCTGGAGGAAGTATGTCACTAGGGAGGCTTTGAGAGTTTATAGTCTAGCCCCCATTTCCTGCTCAACTTTCTGTCCCTGCCACCATGCCTTCTTCACCATTGTGGTCATCTTGACGTTTGGAAGCCTAGGCTAAAATAAGCTTTATTAAGTTGTCTTTGGACATAGTATTTTATCACAGCAACAAAAAATGCAGAAGTTGGACATGTGAATTACTTGCTTATTATTTATGTATGTATGTACATGTATGATATGTGTACACTTAGATGTATGTGGAGGCCAGAGAACAATCTTATGGAGTGTTTCTTCTACCTTTATGTGGGTCAGGGGATTGAACTCAGGTTTCCCGGTTCCTGTGGTATTTTTACACACTGAGCCATCTCACTAGCCCAAGTACATGTATCTGAAGTTTGACTTTGGGGCTTATATCCTGACTCTGCCACTTTCCGCTTATGTGTCCTCTCTCTGCCTTGGTTTCTCTATCTGTAAAATGGAGGTGCTAAAAGTATGTTTTTATGGGGATGTCTAAAGGTTAACTTAGGTATTTGTAAAATACTTCCAAATTGTTTGGTTCGAAAGGGCTGCCCTTATAAGACTTTGCATTCTCGTTTTTCCATTAACATAAATGCTCAGCGTTAAACACAGGTCCAGTGTCTGCTTCTCTGCCTTTAGTGAGGCTTTGGGCTTTGGGCATATACCAACTGCTTGGTACTCTGCCTCCTTTGAGGCATCTTCTCTCGAGTTACCCTTGTCTTCTCCCTCTTCTTTCTTGAAGCCACAGAAGTATCAGAGCAAGATGCTGTTGAAGATGGTCCATGAACATGCTAGGCCTCACCCATAGGCAGGGTGCCCAGTGAAGGCCTGGTTGCAGCAGACCAAAGCCAGCCTGACTAGTAATCTTCAAGAAAAGCCTGGAGTCTCATGTGTCACATTTCTGGATGGGCTGTCAGTCCCGTTTTTGGCTTTGAGTTTACTGATGAGCTTAGAATTGAGTTGGTAGCTTTGCCCTTTCCTTCCCTCACTGTCTAAAAGCCTCCATCTTGAGAGCTTGAAATTTGCGTCATCTACCTGAGTCTCCCATGCAGTTCTGGGAGGGGCCATCCAGGCTTGGAGCTTGCCCTCACTCACAAGAGGGCACTTTCGCCTTTCTAGTCAGCCCCACAAGTAAACAGAGAGTGAAACTCCAGCTAAAAGTTAAATGATACTATCAGCACCATTAAATACCAGTAGAAGCAGAGTCCAAGTTGGAAGAGTCAAATTTGAAATGTAGCTTGAGGAAGATAAAGCTGGGGTCTCTTTGTGTTCAGTGAGGAGGGCACTAAAGTGGCTAACAGAGGCTAAGAGTGAGCTGTGGCCACCGTCTGTGGTTCTGTGGAACTCAGAAACAAGCTGGGTAGAGCTGACCACCCTGGTGTCTGGAGCTCAAAGGCCATGACCGCAATCTCGCAGAAACTATTAACATATACACCTGGATGGATGTGTTATAGGATCTCTTCAATAAGGTTATGAACTTATTTATAAAGACTTCACCTCCAAGACCTGAGTACCTCCCAAAGATCTCATGCAGTTCTGTTACTTTGGGTCTTAGGACTTCAACATAGGAATTTTGGGAGGACATAGATATTCAGATTATTTTGATGTTTTAAATTGTTTTGTTATTTGACTTCTGTGTCTTTTTTTTTTTTTAATAAGAATTCTTATTATTTATACAATGTTCTTCTGCCTGCATGTCAGCCTTTACAGCATTGTCCTAGGACCTCTCTGAGCAGGACATGGTCCACCTTTCACCTACCGGAATCTACCAACTGAGCTAACACTTCACAGTGAGTTTTGCCAATGCCTATGGGAGTTACGAGCATGCACAGCTGAGCTCATAGAGGTAGCTGTTTGGCGTGGAGGATAGTTGCATACACCACCAGTTGGGAAGGCCAACGCACTCAGACAGAGGTTCCACCCTAGAGAGGCAGGCCTGCTTGGAAGCCTAGTGGGCAAAACTTCAGGTGAAACACGAGACTCCTCTATATAGGTTCGGACATAAGTGACACTGAGAGGAGGGCCCAGGAAT